AGCAGATGGTACTAAAGTTGAGAAGGAAAGGATCCTTAATCCTTAGGGTAGTGGTATACTTTATCAATAGAAGAGACAAAAACAGAAGTGGTGTGAACCGACAGAGGAGAAAGAGACCTAACCAGTCAGTACAGACCCTCAGCGTGTCCCCTGGCCCGCCCAGCAATGAGGAAAGCAGTTTATCAACTACTGCCCAAGGGAATCTAGTTTTATTTCACATCACAGGACCACAAAACATCCACATCTGTAGCTTGAAACCTCATGAAATATTGATCTTTTCTTATAACTACCAGAGTATGACTGCATCATATTCTAATCTCATAAATGCTCTCCAAAATATTCCCTTTTTTTCAACATTTTAGAATTCTTTATTCTTCAAGTGAAATTTTCTCTTATTACCTCTGGAAGAGATATGCAACCGTCTTATAGCACCACTGAATGTCCATGTTTTAAGAAAATGAGTTGAAGAGAACAATCAGATTTATAAAAGCAACTATTACAGAAGAATAATTCTCTCCACAAGGAGGACTTAGCACAGCATCTTTTCCTGTGCTATAATCCAACTTTTCAAAATACATATTCTCCCAAATATATTTAGAGAATATACATATTTTGAAAAGTTGGATTATTCAAACTTAATTCATACAAAACTTTCCTTGACAACCAAGGGACTTAGAGGTAAATCATTTTATGGGTTATTTATTCAATGAATTTACTGTGTGTCTAAGACCCGACCTCAGGATGCTCTCGGTCTAGTGCAGAAGATAGGCCCAATGAACCACGAATTACCAAGATAAGTATTACAATAGAGGTCAAGAGAAATGCTGTGAGTAAGCAGAGGGAAAAGCTTAAGTTTGACCAGGTCTTGGCTTCAACATGTTTCTCTGGGAAGCCTTTCTCATCATCCAGGCCAAGCGTCCCTCGTGCCTCACCTCATCACCACTTCATTCACCGCACTCGAGTTGGAACCATCGTGTGTGTGTGTGTGTGTGTGTGTATGTACACGCTCATATATCTCTCTCTAGAATGTGAACATCTGGAGGAAAACTGTATCCTCCACACCTGGAACAAATATGCTCTTGATCAGTGACCACTTGAGACCAATTCCTAAGGTATGGGAAGAGACTTCGTAGAGAGGTGAGATCTGCAGTGGGTCTTGAAGAATTTAGGTAGAGAAGGCTTTGTAGACCTAAGATTCAGTACTTAAAGTGCCAAGTCCAATCATCATACATGCCTCTAATGTGTACTATTTTGACATCTATGTGCAAGTATTTTATAATTTATGGGTTTACATTTCTTTCCTTACCCTAACAGGTTCCAACAGTTCAGTTTCTATTATTATTATTATAAAAACCTATCTTTCAGTGGAAAAAAGGAACTATATAATATGGGATATTATGGAGACTCACTTTTTTACTTAAAATCTCTCAGTAACTGTATTTTGGTTTAACACCTTCAAAGAGATTGACCTAACCAGATTCAATAAACTAGGCTTAGTAAGAGAACCTCAGAAATTTAAAGTGCTTGATTTCTTTAGAACCTTATTTTTCTCTAATTCAAGGTAATTTACACCAATTTTAAGTTAACTTAATGGAAATATCATTTATCAAAATAATCAGAATTCTCCCACATGCAAAAAAGTTCAATCAGTTTATTACTGGCTGAGGGGCAAAAGGCTGAAATAACACAAAACGATATTTTACTTTGAAGTAAGAGAGGCAGAGATAGGCAGCTATTAATTTTTCTGTCTCCTGGCAAACACTTCTTCAGAGCTCACACCCACCCCTGATTGGTAGGAGGGAATTTAGAGAGGTGATCTACCCACCTCCCATTTAACAGAACAGGACATTGAGGCCCAGAGAACTGAGGTGAGTTTTTCTCAAATCAAGAGTCAGTCTAGATCCTGACATGGTCAAGCATTGTTTCTACTACCCTTGGGTTTCTCTCTTTGGGACACCAATTTCTACAAATATAGACAAAATGTTCAGAAAGGGAGAATACTCACAGACCTACTAAACTAAGAGTAGGAGTTCTGACTCTCGGCCCCAAACATGAGGCTGAGTCATCTGGACATCCTCAATTGTCTGTCAGAGATGCTATGAGCTTGGCTGACTCATGGCTCCAGACAGCTCAACCTAATTTTCCCAGAATTGACTGTTAGGATTCATACTTTTCCTCTGAGAGAAGGTCCATATCCAGATTTCAAGAATAAGCAGGATTATAGGGATGCACAGCACCAGCTCAATTAAATTAATCCAGCAAGGGAGGTAAATAAACCAATAAGCTGAAGACGCCTAGTGAAGCCACACCAGGAGTGCCAGCCAACACCTGAACACTGGACTTAGTCTCCAGAGACTCACAAGGTCAAGGGCAGAAGAAAGAAATTTGGGCAATGCAAATTTCTTTTGTTATCTGAGTTTAATGGTACTGGGGCTCTGAATGAGTGAGTGTTCATGCCCAGCTGTCTTTAGTCATGACTTTCTGTTCTTCATTCAAAACGTTTTAGGAAAAACAATTATCTCCTAAACTACAAATTTCATCGGATGGAAGAGGCAGAGGAAATAAGAGTAGAACATAATGGTATAAAAAATACAATCAGAGAATCTTTATTAAAAACTATGAACTAAGATGAAATAGTCAATTTTGACAACATGAGTAATACCACAGACCTATTTTTACTAATGCAAATAATTCCACTGGTAGCTTACCAGTTCTTCTGCTTGATAAATCTGAAATACAAGCACACAATTTTAACTGAAAGTTTATTTAAATTCTTGAACGGTTGAAATTAAGCATTAAAAACTGCCTTGCATCAGGGTATTCTGCTCATTTGGTTGGAAATTCAAGACTAAGATAAAGATCCACTGGCAGAGAGAATGCCACTATGATGAAAGAAGTGCACAAATTTTCTTCTTTTGCAGTAATTTTATTATACCATATACTGCTTGAAACAAGTGGACAATTGGCTAGACTAGGGAAACATGTCTGTTGTGCTAATATTTGTGTTATACCACTTATACTGGGGTGTATTTTGGACCTACATCTACTAATGGTTCCCCACCCTCCAAAATCGTGAATGAATGATTGAACAGAAATTTGTGAACCTTCAATTTATAGTTTGAGAATTAGTCTCAGTAGATCATGCAGCACCTGGGCAATTACAAACTGCAGGTATAATGAGTACTCTTGTTAATTAATGTGCATAATGGTCATCCTCGCCATCTCCCCTATGGAGGACATTAATTTCATGTAGCAAATAACACTTCTAAAATTACTTCAAAAAATGACATTAAGATTGTGGTCCCTCCTCAGACCACACCAGGCACAGGATCCCAAGGACGTGGGAGTAGTGACTGCTTATGCATTGGCTTGACCCTTCCACAGGGCTGCTAATCTAGCCTTGGGACAGTCAGAAACTTTGTTAGTCAGTTTCGAAATATCTAGGGAAATGTTTTAAGTATTTAACAGGATAAAGAAAAGCCATAAAGCCCTTTTAACAATGTTTCTTCCTTTTATTTATACTCCTCTGCTTGTCACTGTCTTCTCAGGAAGCCTTTAAAGCCAAAACATAAAATTAACCAAGAGACTGCGAATCGCAAACACACATACAATGAAGAGACAACTTCATTTTGCCTGGGTCCTCATCCAACCAGTGCAGGGAAAACTTCTGGTAACAGGGACTATATAGATAAGCTATATAGTCTGTTAGAACTATACAGTCAATGCAGAGAAACTTAATCACTATCAGGGCTCCTCAGTGTGGCTACATCAATTTTTTAAAGGTGAGCTATCAGTGGAAGGGTACATACTGCAAGTACTGTGTGGCAAGACATGTTGCTTAAGTGTAAAATGGCATAATGCCTATTTAAGACACAGAAAATAGAAACAGTTGACTCAAAGTTCAGCTTTCTTTCCCTGCCAAGCCAATATTGCTATGACTACACAGAATGTGCCATTTGCATTAAGATGCATGCGAGCAAATGTATGTAAACACGAAGTCAGCACACACTTGGGTTCTGTCTGATTTAACAGTGCTGCTTAGATCTGGAAATAGGTTTTTAACTACTAGTGAGGTTTTTTTCTCTCTGAAAGGAAAGAGGAGTAAATACTGCAGGAATTCAAGGATGACACAACATACAGCCAAGCAATCCCTCTGAGTGAAGCATGTTTGACACTCTAGGATTACTAATTTATGACAGGCCCCCAGGGCTGATTTCAATAGCCTCTAACTAGTTTTCAGTAAGGGAAGAAGTAGGAGAGATTGACCTTGATTCACCTATTAACAACATGGAAAACCCTTTAATACAGTGGTTCTTAATCTTGGCTGCACATTGGAATCACCTGGAGAGCTTTCAAAATTCCAGGTGCCCAGACCACCGCCCAAATCGATTACATCCGCATATCTAGGAGTGGGGCCCTGGTACCTGTGCTTTTTAAAGTCACCGGTGACCCAAGATGCAGCTAAGGCTGTGAACCACTGTCTGGTATCAACCCTGCTGACCTCATGTAACTTCTGCTGCAAGGAAACCAGGAAAGCCAATCTAGAGCGTTTCACAACCACAGCTTCTAAGCAGAGCAGTTACAACAGGGTCCCCAATTGTCAGACCACCACAGGTGCCTGCGCTGAGGTCCACACAGAGGGCTGAACGGACCACTTATGAGCTAGAGGATTACCTAGATCCTCATGGAGAGCCATTCTGTCCAGTCTGCACTTCATAAAGAAAAAAAGTTCGCCAATCTTAAGCGATGTCTCCGAAGCCCGTTAGCCTGCCTGTGTTCCTGGCAAATCTCTTGGGGAAGGACAGCCGAATATATGTGAGAGCGCGCCCCACACGGAGACTACGAAGCAGCAGACAGAACCCTACAAGTCCCCATGGCCGCCTAGAAAACACCCTGCAGGCTCCACTCAGCGCGGGGCAGGTGGGAGCGCGCGGGCCTGTGGCCGCTGCACCTGCCAGAGCGCTGGGTCGCACCTGCCGTGCTGGGCCGTCCCCTCCTACCTTCCAGCAGCTCGTCCAGGCTGGTGACCTTCCGGCTGCCGTCGACAGTGTAGATGGTGCGGACGCCCTGGGGCAGGTTCACGTTGTCCGACAAGGAGCGGGTGAGCTCCATGAGCAGCGCATCGAAGGACCGGAAGCGGTCGCTGGAGATGGCAAACACCAGGCCCTTGAAGTAGCGGTCCCCATTCCGGTAGAAGCGCGCCTTCTTGGCCTTCTTCTCCGAGCTCAGGGCCTGCAGGGTGCGCGTGCGATAGAAGCTGCAGTGGGCACTGTGCGCCGGGCTGGGGATGAGGCCGTTCCCTTTGGGGCCGGAGCTGCTGCTGCCCCCGGAGGAGCTGGGCGCCCCTCTCCGCGACCCCGGCCGCGGCCTTTTGTCCCGTTCCTCAAAGTGCTCCAGCTCAATACTCCTGGTGCTGGCCATCACGGCCGCTCCGAGGGCTCCCCACCGACACCGTCGCGGCCAAAGCCCCCAGGTAGCCTAGGGTCGGGGCAAGCAGCAGCGCAGGGACGGCTGGGACGGGCGAACGCGCCCGGCCACCTGGCGCTGACGTCCCGCCCCCTCCTCGCAGGTGGAACGGCTAAGCCGTGGCTCCGGCCCCGAGCCCTCCCCCGAGAGCGGCCGCAGCGGCGAGCTGCCCAGCTCGTAGTCCGGGCGGCGCGCGCGGTCCCGCCAGCCGCGGAGCCCCCACGCCCCCCCCAGGCACCTCCTCCACCCGGCCACGCCTCACAACGCCCGCTCGGGGTCCGGTCAGGCGGCGCAGCTGGGCCGCCCGAGGCTCGCCCCGGGCCCGCGAGCGCACACAAAGCTCGGGCGCCCGCCGCGGCTCGCGGCCGTCCGCCGCTCCCGGGAGGCCGAGGGGGAGGCGGGGAGGGAGGGGAGGGGCTGGAAGCGTGGGAGAAGCGCCGCAGCCTCGCTCGCCCCCCGGCTCTGCCCGCGGGCGGCGCGCGCCGGCTCAGGCCGAGAGGACCGTGCGGGCGCCCGTTCCTCCCACAGCCCGGCCCTGGAGGGAGGTAACGCGGCCCGCCTCCGCCGCGGCCCGTCGGCCCAGCCTGCCGCGAGCATCTGCGCCCTGGCACCGAGCGGGCTGGCGGGGGCTTCCCGCCCCCAGGGGACGCCGGAGCGGGGAGCGAGGGAGGGGCGCGCTGGAGGAGGGGCCGGCCGGGAGGCGCGGGGGCGGTGCCGCGCGAGGAGCGGCTCCCCCTGGGTCCTAGGCCCCCGCGCCCGCCGCCAGCTCCCACCGCGCGGCACGCGCCAGTGGGTGCCGGCGGGCACGCGCTCCTCCGCCTGGGAAACGTAAACGCGCAGGCCAGAAAAACTACAAAGGCAGGGGATTCAAGGGCAGGGATCACATCCCGTCGCCAACCTCCAAGTGAGGGACCGAGGCCAAACTAGGGCAGAAATCCGAAAGACACAGAATTTGGGCACAGAATTTAGTTTTAAAAAGGAAATCTGGAGATTTAAAAACCGTTTCCTAAAACAGTTTCCGTTGCCTACTCACTAACATGGTATGTTCAGAAACTTTCAATGATCAGAAGTTATTGGGTTTTGAAGTATTTAATCAACAAATACTTAAGAGCATCCCTTGTGCCAGGGATTGTTTCTGTCCCTGAGATGCATTAGTAAAGGGACAATACCTGCCGCTACCTCCCACCATTCAAGTGGTATTTCATGTTATCAATTTGAGCTTCTTATTAAGTAATAGGTTTAACATTTGCAAGCACCCATTACGCTGGAAATCTTAATTTAGTAGTGCCTGGTCAACTGTAAAGCATGTTTTCTAAAAGCTTATGAGAAACATTAGTTACTTCCATTTTGCCATCAGGGAAAGATAAAACTAAAAGATGTTTGGCCCCAATTTGACAGGCGAGTAAGCTACCTTGAAACCTTAAGTTTTGCAGCACCCAGTTCTCTGAGTGTTCCTACACAGCAAGTCCCTAACCTGTAAGGTAGGAAGGCATGGATGCTTTTCTTGGAATGAACTGAATTCTGCAAGGGCATGAATAAGAAAGCAGACATGTGTGCAGTAGTTCTAAAGCAGCTGTGCATTTGCCCTGGCATGGCACTGCCCCAGAAGATTCCTGCTGATGCACCATCAAGCCCCACGAAGCCTCAGACACACACCTGGCATACCTGGCTTCTACAAGACTAGAGGATGCCAGGAAGTAAGAGCTGAGTTGAAGCTTCAGTGCAGTTTACAAGGGGAATAATTCTGAAATATAAGTAGTCTATGACCATGATAGACCTCAACCCAGGTCAATTAAATAAACATTTCTAGGGATGGGTTCTCCAACAGTATTTTTTGAAAATGCTCCTAATGTATAGGCAGGTTTTCCAACTATAGGCTGTGTAACATTAAGATTCAAACAGATCAGTGCTTCTTCTCAAACTTTGATGTGCTTATATGTAGTGGGGGAATCTCATAAAATGCAGGCTCTGATTCAGTACGTCTTGGGTGGCATCTGAGTTTCTACATTTCTAACAAAGCTGCTGGTTGGGTACAATGCTTTGAGAAACAAGGAACTAAGTGACAAATTCCTTGAGATAAGGCCTCATTAAGTACAGTAACTACAGAGCCTATCAACTTTGCAGATGGCTTAAAATGGGTGTGTTCATTTGTTTTGCTATTACTATTTCTTGAAGAAAAAACACTATCTATTGCTGTAATATCTAATTATCCCAAACCTAGTGGTTTGCAACAATAAACATGTATTACCTCAGCAGTTTCTGAAGGTCAGGAATCTAGGAACAGCTTCCCTTGAGGTCTTATGAAAATCTCATGCAGCAATCAAGATGTTGAACGGGGCTGCAGTCTTCTGAAGGTTTGACAGGCATTGGCAGATCCACAAAAATAGCTCACTCGCATGGTTGGTAGCAAGCCTCAGTTCATGTCATGTGCATTTCTGTAGGGTCACTTGAATGTTGTTATGTAACATGTCAGCGGAGTTCCTCCAGAGGAGCATCCAAGAGAAAACAAAGGTGGAAACCATAATGTCTTTTACGATGTAGCCTTGGAATCATATACTGTCATTCCCACAATAGCCCGTAGGTTTCGCAGATCAGCCCTGTTCAGTGTGGAAGGAGACTACACAGGTACATGACTGACTGGGGTCAGGGATCATCAGGGTCATCTTGTAGCTGGAAGCACAAGCTTCAGTCATTCAAGCCTTAGGATGCTAATGCACATTCTCTCCAAGATACCTGATCAAAGATTTGACCCTACTTCAATAGTGAATATGATTTAAAAAATGCTAGCATTTTAACATTATTCCTTAATATTATATCCCTAGGTTAACCAAAGATTACTACTTTTCAACAGGGATGGGGGGAAAAGAGAAAGTATTTCCAAAGTTGTTACTTAGTTTTTAAAAAGTTATTTTTTACTCCTGCTCTTCCCACTAATTTCTTCAAAAATTATATCCCTGACCCTCATATAAGAATTAAGATGCAATCACTTTTCATAAGATATTTACTTAGTGAATATGGTATATATTAAAACCCAAGCAGCCAGAATTTGATTTGTTGAGGTGGAAAAAAATTAGTCTCTGCATTACAATTCTAACGCAAACAAAATTTGGAGGCTCTGGGTAGGCAACTATTAATTATTTTGGGTTACTTCATGACTTAACATTTATAGAACCAGAGCAAATTCTCCCTTTTCAAACAATTGTAGATTTTGCAGAGTAAGATATTTGAACTGTCATCTCCTTTGTTGAGAAACCCCTTTTCTTCTAACATAGAAACACTATCTGATTTGCTAATCATTCATCCTTCGAAAGATCATCTGATTCTCCGTGTTGGTTACAAGGTCTACCATCTCTGTCTTCCAGGTACTGATTTAAAAGAGCTTCATTAAGAGGGGCTGACCCTGCTTCTTTACCACCTGGAAACCTGCCTAGACCTTAGTTCTTTGTTGGTTCTGAATTCTCTATCCTTTTTCCTAACCCCTCTTAATTCAACACTTGTCTGAATAAAAACTTTTGTGTGGAGCACTTAAAAATGGCTTCATTTTTGTCTTCTCCATTTTTTGGATTAGAAATGACCCCTTTCTGGTCTTGATATATATATATAACTTTAACTCCTGAAGTATCTACTGGATGTGAACATTTTCTTGGCAATATCCAAGAGGAATTTTTAAAAACCACTTGGGGCAGAAAAATTCAACCAGGCATGAAGGTAAGGTAATTGTTTTTTATTCTCTATACTTTAGGTCACCCAGATTAGCCAATACAGTTTGAGAATTTTAGAACTGCCTTTCACCAGTGGTAACTCCTACCCCACTCCCCTCAACTCCCCACCTCCACCTTGACTAAGAAATATATCACAAGTTTTTATTTAGCATAATTTGTTTAAATGAGATTTAATTATATACTGCCTTATGGAGCTTTACAGAAACTTGCCTTGAACATCTCCTGGTTTTATTTCATGCTACTTCTCAAACCATATTGACTAGTCTTCGCTTTTGGCCAGACACTGCTTTTAAAGGCAGTTCTCCAACCACTCTATTATTTATTACAGAAAGGATGCTTACAAACCTTTAGACTGCACTGTGCTGAGACATTTTGCTGTCTCATGTTTTCATTCCTGTTCACTACCAGGCAAGCATTTCTCCCAGAAGCAAGTGATGAAGCATGTCCTTTCAGTGAAAGGGCCTGGTGACTATGGGCTTGAATTTTTTAAACTAAGCATTAGTTTTTATTTCAGAATCTTTAATGATTATAAATTCCAGTGTTCTGTAAAACTTTAATGGAAAGGGTATAAAGCAAAATGGTTCAGAAAGACACTCGTACCCCATACCCTGTACCCAGTCTGGAGAAAAGATTGGACAAACTGTTCTCTTGTGTTGTCGCACACTGGGGATTTTGCTATCCTTTTCAGTCGTGACTCTTAGAGCACTTTACAAATATATTAATGATTTCTTTGGAAATATATATGAGGAAATGCTTAAAACTACCTTTTCAGGTTCAGAAAATTCAAACTTAGTTCATTGGTTAAGTCTTTCAGAAATTCCAAATTTAATATTTTTGTGAAAATATCAGTTCATTGAAGAAAAATTCAAATATGCATGCTTTAAATGTCCATAGCATGGAAAATATTTTTTCTATGAGAAAACTAGCTGAATAGTTCTTCCTATTGGTACATTTCACTGTCACAAAGTTTAGAACAAGGAGCCCCACATTTCATATACTCAAATTTATTTGAAATAAGTTTATTGAAATGTAAATTTCATATATTCAAAATTATACTTCATTATTTTGTCATTTACTAGTTCAGCTACAATAATTGTTAAAATGAAAATAAACATTAAAGTTACATAACTTTTTTCTTTGAAATGTGTACTTTTTTCTCTTCAATCTCTTTAAGAAGGAAATCTAGGAAAGGTAGAAAGTATCCCTTCTTTCCAGATAAGGGAACCATGGCACACTAAATGATTTTCAACACCTATTTTCATAATATCAAAAGTGAAAGACCGTGGAAATAGTATACTCGTTTTGTTTCTGTAGAATTATATTTGCCAAAACCAAAATAAAATTTACTCTTTGAATCTAGGCTTTTTATTTTAT